AAAATAGTTAATGAAAATAAATTAAAAAAAAAAAAAAAAAATAAAAAAAAAAAAAAAAAAATTAAAAATTAAAAAAATATAAAAAAAAAAAAAAAAAAAAAAAAAAAAAAAAAAAAAAAATAAAAAAAAAAAAATAAAAAAAAAAAAAATTTAAAAAAAAAAAAAAAAAAAAAAAAAAAAAATAGGCTGCATCTATTATGAAAGTCCAGTACAATAAATATTCATTTAAACAGGAGAGACCTATAATACATGGCAGCTACTATTACTATTTGGAGATCAAGCCTTTAATGCAGCTTAGGGGTAACCACACCGCACACTCATCTGAACAAATCCTTAGCGTCATCTTCTTACATAGAAATAGGATATATATGTATCAAAGTAGCCCAAAGACTTGCTAAATAAAATTTGACAAGTCTTGTGTACAACACCAGAATAGAACAAATCATAAAAATATATTTCTAAGAAAAAAAATTAATAAATAGAGATTGAGTTAATGCTCAGCATGCTTTAACAGCAAGATAAAGCAAAATTGAGCGCTGCTGGCTCTATTTACTACTGTATCGGGGGGAAGAATTGCATCAGTCTGATACCCACTGCAATAAAAATGTTCCCATCACTCTACCACTGAGTTCTAGGCCAGTCGTCTCCAAACTGTGACCCAAGGGCCGGATGCAGATCTTTTCTAGCCTTTATCCGGCCCTTGGAGCACTATTCCTCCCACTTACACCAACAGTGGGGCATAATTTCTGCCACTGAAACTAGTGATGGGGTACTGTTCCTCCCACTAGCATCAATGATGGGCATTATTCCTCCCACTAACTCCAACAATGGGGCACTATTTCTTCCAATGATGGGGAACAATCCCTCCCAGTAATATCAGTGACAAGGCACTATCCCTTCCACTAATATCAATGACGGGGCACTATCCCTCCCACTAGCATCAACGACGGGGCACTATCCCTCCCACTAGTATCAACCAAGGGGCACTATCCCTCCCACTAGTATCAACGACGGGGCACTATCCCTCCCACTAGTATCAACGACGGGGCACTATCCCTCCCACTAGTATCAACGACGGGGCACTATCCCTCCCACTAGTATCAACGACGGGGCACTATCCCTCCCACTAGTATCAACGACGGGGCACTATCCCTCCCACTAGCATCAACGACGGGGCACTATCCCTCCCACTAGTATCAACGACGGGGCACTATCCCTCCCACAAGCATCAACGACGGGGCACTATCCCTCCCACAAGCATCAACGACGGGGCACTATCCCTCCAACTAATATCAACGACGGGGCACTATCCCTCCCACTAATATCAATGATGGGGCACTATCCCTCCCACTAGTATCAATGATGGGGCACTATCCCTCCCACTAATATCAATGATGGGAACTATCCCTCCCACTAATATCAATGATGGGGCACTATCCCTCCCACTAATATCAATGATGGGGCACTATCCCTCCCACTAATATCAATGATGGGGCACTATCCCTCCCACTAGTATCAAAGATGGGGCACTATCCCTCCCACTAGTATCAATGATTGGGCACTAATCCTCTCCCTGACACCAACAGCGGGGTGCTATTTCTTCCACGGATACTAATGATGGGGCACTACTCCCCATCAAAAGTAAGCTGTGATTGGTTTCTGTGGACCAAGGGAGGACTGACAACTCATGGGGCCCCCGGGCAATAGGGGATCATGGGGCCCGTGTCCTCGCCGCCCACACTCAAACCACACCCAAAAAATACTATGAAAGGTACCAGGGACATCTCATGGGGCCCCCTACTGATGCCGGGCCCTCGGGCAGTGCCCGAATACCCAAATGGTCAGTCCGCCCCTGCTGTGGACAAGGCAGACAGATAGTTCTTCCCTTAGACACACTGATAAATAAGGGCCAGTGAGAACACAGAGTCCAATTCACAAAAAGAAACTAAAAGAAAGAAAAGAACTGAACATGGTAATTAATCAGGCTGGATGTCGGATATCTGGACTCCTGAATCACACTGGTTTTATGTGCTGACACATAGGACCACAGCCTGCTATGGGAGACCTAAGCATCCAACACTCTCGAAGTGTCAGATGTGATGATTCTGCTGGAGGCTGTAGCTAAAAATCCAAAGGAACAGATTTCCATGTCAGGCGATTATAAACAGGTATTTCTTTCCACTTTTTGAGATTGAATCACTTTCCAATGGAAAATGCCAGCTAGAATCTGATTGGCTACAACACACTTCCACACTTCCTTTAATGTAGTGTTTCCCAAACTATGGCCAGTCACATCTTACCATCACAACTTATTAGCAGCTTGTGGAAAAAAATTACTTCTGTAATATGAATCTTCCCTATAAACAACAGAGGCCAGCAAGTGAGCCATAAAAAGAAGGAATCCCGTGGAAGGAGGACTGGATGCTCAAGAGTTCCCTCTATTTTTTTAAAAGTGAACTTACCCTTTAAAACCACAAATGCACATTTTTTTGCAGGTAAACAAAAAATGTGCATTTAATATTTTCACACTGACAGGAAGAATCAATAAACTACCACTGCGCTCAATAGCGCTGTGGTAGTTCATTGAGAATTACAAGCCCACAGCCGCAAAGGCTGTTGGTACTTGTGGTTTCCCATTTAGAGAACGCTTTTTTTTTTTTTTTTTTTAAATTGTGACAGCTAGCGGGTGGGAGAAGATCCCCCATTAGCTGTCACAACAGAGGATTGGGGGGTGCGGGGTACAGTGCTACAATAACATGTTACATCCTGAAAAGGGAACCTATCCTTTAAGTAACGTGTCGCTAGCATCCCTTCAAATCCTTCTTTCTCCTTGCTCCTTTTCAGAGGCAATGGCTTCAAGAAGGTACATGGATGTCTTCACTGATGAAAACGTATCCAACAGTAAAAACTTTACAAAAATGGCTATCCCCTTGGCGCTGGCACCTCCCAACCCTTTAATGGGTTTGTGATGTTGGGAGGCAGGGCGGGGTTTAGGGCCATGTGACCACCGTGATTGGCTGTCATAGTGGTCACATGATCGGAAAAGTCTTTTCGTGAGGTGCCAGTAAATGTGCTGGGAGCACACAGGGCACGTGCTCTTAACACGTGTTTACTTTGGGCACGCAAATATGCGTCCTCTCTGCATCAAGGCCCAGCTGCCGAGAGGCCAAATATTTGCATACCGTCGGTGCCATCAGGTTAAAGGATAAAGTTCACCTTTTGAAAAAAAAAATTAATAAAATGCACATTTATTGCAAGTAAAAAAATGTGCATTTATTGTTAATTTTTTTTTTTTTATTCTAAGGAGCCTGCAGAACACTACACCCTCGATTAGCAGATCACAGGTGCAATCTCAGGCTCCTGCAGACCCTCAGGTAAGCTGTCTGTCCGTACCCTGCACAGACAGGCAGTTCCCTGAGAGCAGGAAGACTCAATGAACTACCAGAGTACTCACCAGCGCCCTTGTAGGTCACTGAGAACTACGAGCAGTCAGCCGCAATAGCTGACAGTACTTGTAGGCATTCACTCACAGGAAACTGAGTGAATGACATGGTGGTATGGGCGGAGACCTGGACGGCCCGGCTGCTTTTAAATTGTGACAGTGGGTGCGGGGAGAAGATTCCCCGCCCACTGGCACAGGGAGAGGGGGGGGGGGGATTGTGGGTGCAAGGTGCACATGCTGGAACATGTTACCCATGGTACCTGCATGTACCCTACTATTTTTTCCTGAGTGCCCTGGTAGCCACTGAACCTATAGTGCTGAGTAAGATTCAGAAAATCAGAGCTCTAGCATCCCAGTCTCTGTAATTTGTCCTTTTTAACTAATTAATAAAGCTTGCCAATCGGCAGTGAAGGAAGCAGAGCTAGGTGGGGAGAAGATACTTCAACACTGGGTTTTGCCACATGTATATCTCTTCCTTCAGGGGTTCTAAGTGTACACAAATCAAAAAGTATGGCAGGCCTACCAGTGTTTGTTTTTATGTCAGGTTTACAAACCGTCATATGGTATGATAGGTTTGTTTTAAACAGCTATCAGAAAGGAACAAAGAAATCTGAGGTTTCCAGTGTATCTAAGGGGACAGAATGAGAAAGCAAAACATTTGTTTGCAAACCTGCTTGCTTTACAGGGGTATGTTAAATAAGCATTGGGTGTTTTAAAAGTGCACTTTTCAGAGAGACACGGTCACCACAAAAAAAAAAAAAAATGAAATGCATGTAAGGGATATTTTAACACTTACCTGTCCTGCTGTTTACCCCTGTATTCAAGAGATTGCAAACTGAAGAATCTTCACAACTAACATTTCTAGAAGGATGGTCCACCTCTGAGATCTGTGGTTCCTGTGGGACACAGTAGTGACATATGGACCAGGCGAAGACACCGCAGTGCTCATGCCGGGGACCAATAATCCAACACATTTGGAAGTGTGCCAGATGCTGAAGAATTTTTTTAGGTGGCGGTATCTCTTGATTAAAGCCGGTAACAGCGGCACAGGCAACACAAGATATAAGTATTAAAAGGACTTCTTTTTCATGCTTTTTTTGTATCATTTTATGACAAAGTCGCTTTCAAAGTTATCATATGTACAGCACCCACCTACGCTGCTTAAAAGAGGTTTAGTAGTATTGGTCATTAGTGATGCAGGGACTGGTCCATAATGCTTTCTTCTTTCCTGCCTCCCTGAGCAGCCTTTAAGTGCCTTACCTTTTTTCCTCAGTCCTTCTGCACTGTATACTGACTCCTTCAATATGGCTGTGGAGCCCTTAGGAGAAGATACATCCAGTATCCTACTTCCATAAGCATGCTCCCTGGTCCACCTGCCATAAAGGTGATAACACAGCAGGCATACCCTTCCACATAGCCATACTGAGGGTAAACACCACAACTGATACCCATCTCACACTTTGGGAAACACTGCTGTAGTGTTAGAAAGATAAGCCCCAGTATGCATGTTGTCTGCAATCATGCTTGGAATGTAAACACTCCCTCCCAGCTAACAATTTCACAATGCATAGTCCTGGCAGGAGGAATCACTTTTTTTACGCCGCGGTGAAGTGGTGGACTTTGTAGGCGATGGAGATGCTGTACCAGAAGATTCACTTCCGCCATCCCCAGGTGAGGAACTTAAATGAGGTACTTGTGATACTTTACGTCTGCCCAGAAAGGCTCCTTCAAAGCCACTTCTCCTCTTTGACTCTGGCTTGGGGTCGTTTTCCTCCTCTATGATCCTCTTCCTGACATCAGCATTATCAGGCAAACGGCAGCAATCTGAAACAGCCTCGGCACCCTTGCTTCCTTTCAGAGCAATTGTGGGTTTTTTGTCACTAGAGCAGCTCTCTTGGTCATTTGGTTTTGGGTCGCTCTTCGCCTCCAAACCTCCGTTTTCCAGGTCAACTTTTTCAGAGTTGTTTTTGTTGAAACTGAATGACTGGAAATCTCTGTAACTATGGAAGCTCTCTGTGCGCCGGGCCCGTGCTAAGAGGGGGCTTTCACGGTAAGGCCTCACTGAGCCATATGTGGCAGCTTCATGTATTGTTTCATGGTGGAGTTGTAAACTGTAAGGAAGAACAAAAGATTAAAAGGGCTACACCAACTAAAATCGCTAGATACACAGGACTGTCTAACTGTAAAAATTGATCCCCACCAACCTTGCTGTACTGTGGGATTACAGGCCTGCAGACTCCACCTAACAGCCACAACTCCTGCCTGCTCACAGGATAATACCAACATTGGTCACATCAGGGCTGATTTACTACAACTGCATGATGCAAAATCTGGTGCAGTTCTGCAATAAAAACCAATCAGCTTCCAGGCTTTATTGTGAAAGCTTAATTGGACAAGCTGAAGTTAGAAGCAGATTGGCTACCATGCACAGCTGCTCCAGATCCTGAGTGCTCCAGCTTTAGTAAATCTGCCTCATCCTCTGTAAGTTCTCACTCTCCTGAAGGATTAGATACGCATCCCTTACACTCCTTACAATGCACTACTACTGCAAGACTGCTTTTAACTTAAAACCATAATTGTGTTGCCATATTAACAGAACAAAAAATTAAAAAAGCATCTGATCAAACCGATTTTGGTTTCATCCAATGCTTTTAAGGGCAGCGGAGAGATCTGAGGTCTAACAGACCCCAGATCTCTCAGTAAAGAATACCCATGCTATCACAAGCGATGTTGTTCTTCCCTTGTAATAGCAATAAAGTTGATTAAAAAAAAACAAAAGGTACAGGGTAAATAAATAAATAACATTTCAAGAGTTTTGAAAGAATAAGAACCATGAGGAGTTTTAGAGAAGAATTAAAAAATGAATAGCTGCAATCCACACTTTTATTCTATAGCTTTTCCTGCAGCAGTTTATTTCTGCCACTAGAAGTTGCCAGTCTTTGAGACAGAATGCTCACTAGTATCATCCGACTCACTTCCAATGAGCCCAAGCAGTCATGGACACTCTTCCTGTCATCATGGCAGCCTGGGCTCACAGTGCTACAGCACTAAACTGTGGTTATGCGTTATTGAGTGCTATCATCATCACTATCATCAGATCCTTGGAACAAATGCAGGTGTGGATGTGTGTACACTTTAAATGCAAGGGGAAGCCAGCGTTCTGCTTTAACCACATCAGACCCCGCAAAGTACCCATATGTCGGGGGGGTTCGAGTGGTTATACCAGGATGATGCACTCTTAAGTTTAAAGTTAACCTTTAAAAATCAGAGGCTTTGAATATCTCCGTACCGGATTCCACCCTGTGGAGCCTACTCCCCTTTTTCCCATTCAAATGGGGTACCCGTTCGATACAATATCTGGGGATGAAAATTCCCACAAATTTGAAGAACATTCTTCCTTTGAATTTCAAAGCCCTTTCTGACAATGCTTGCTGCCGACCTTAAGAAATGGGACTCTCTAGCTTTTCCTGGTTTGGCTGCTGTAACGTACTTAAGATGAACGCAATGCCAAGACTGTTGTACTTGTTGCAGGCCTTACCTGTCAGAATACTCCATACCTTTTTCCTTGCTGTACGTTCAGTGTTCATAAATTAAATCTTGCATGGCAAACGCCCACATATCAGCAGAGTGCTACTGTTGCGTCTGAAGCTCAAGGGAGGCATAGGCTTTCCAGACCCTGCCCTGTACTATACAGCAGTACATGACGTGGTTATAGTAGATTGGTGTCGACACAGTGAACTGAAACTATGGGTGGAGCTGGAACAAGAGATGGCCGATGCCACACTAGAGGGATTACCTTGAGAGAGCAAGCCACAAACTGCCTACTTGGCTACTCACCCATTGATTGGCCCCACTCCTGTGGTGATAGATAGGTTGTTCAGCTATCTTCCTTGTCCAGTTTTTCTTCTATGTCGCCAATCCTTGGACACCAGAACTTCCTTAAGGACCCGATCTTTACCACGCAGAACTGAAAGGGGCTTTTACGTGCCTCCCATTTCCTATGGCCAGTAGACTTCATTCCCATTAAAACGCTGTTCGATAGACGAACACCTATCGCATTAGATCAGTGCAGAGCTATTCAGCTTTCACATTCCTGTGTTCTATGCCCAAATCGGCACTCTTCCCTCAGAAGCTACACTCCTTGGAGGAGCTCTGCTTGAGCAAGGGCCCAATCCATGGATCCCTCTCAACTTGTTACAAAACTCTGTTAGACCTTCATGACACTACTGACCCACCCTTCTAAGTGAAATGGGAGCGAGACCTGCAAACTAGTTTCACAGAACCTCAGAAGGAACGCATCCTTTTCTTTGCGCAGAAGTTCTCCTGTAGTAAATATCAAGAATCCGCCTACAAAATTACCACACCACACGATGGTACAGAACCCCATCAGCCTTGGCTAAACTATTTACCAATCAATCTAACCGCTACTGGCACTGCGAACAACACCCAGGCACCATTTTTCACATTTTCTGGGAATGCCCTAAACTTCAGACTTTCTGGCAACCGGTCCAGATTTACAAACATACCTCTGCATATTGACCCAGCTACGGTCCTCCTTAACCACACCCCTATGTCGAAGAAGCGCTATCATAAATGTCTCCTCAAACAGCTCTTAAATGTGGCACGGGCATGCATACCGAGCCTTTAAAAGCAACAGGCTGCCCCTACCGTGGTGCAATGGCTCGCAAGAGTGAATGATTGAACAGATCTTCTGCTATTGGGGACAAATCGGAGGAGCATAAGACCAGGTGGTTTTACTGGCACCTTTTCCGCTTCTCAGATGAATACCTCTAATATACATAACATTTGCTCTGTGCTTAAGAACTTGAGAGATTTTTCTTTTTTCTGCATGTCAGGTACTGCTGTTCCCTTTGGTACGCTCTGACCCAAGTTGAATGACCCACATCTGACTTCCCCCATTTACTGGGCACCTCTCCCGGAATTTTGAAGGTTCAAATGTTACTTTCTAAGGCTTATCTGTTCTGTGAAGTCACCATTTCATTTCATTGTAAATGTCGCATACCACTACATAAATAAATAATAAAACAAAATTTAAAAAAAATACCAGGATGATGCCTATAGCTATTTTTTGCAATCCTAGGAGCCCAAGACTGCAGCTGGTGACTCAGCCGGCTGACAATAGACATGATGGAGGACCGGAACATTCCCGATCATCTCTATGGTCTCTAATGGCCTGATGTAAACAAGCCATTACTGGTTTGTGAAAAGCATTGGGTCACACCAATCTTGGTTTGATCCGATGTTTTTAAGGGCAAAGGAGAGATCTGGGGTCTGTTACTGTCACTGCCCATACTATCACAGGGAACATTGTTCATCCCATGTGACAGCAATAAAGCCGATAAAAAAAAAAAAAAGAATTAAACAGGTACAGTGTAATTAAAAAGAAAAAAAAGTTTGTTTTTTAAAGCTCCCCTATCCCCCCCATACTTGCGTGCAAAGGTGAACGCAGGCATCAGTCTGCACACATATGTAAACAGTGATCATACCACACATGTGAGGTATCACCACAAACATCAGTTTGAGAGCAATAATTCTAGCATCAGACGACCTGTACAAACTAAAGTGGCATAAACTGTAAAGGGTTTTGAAGCGTTGCCTGTGGATAATTTAATGTACATAGTTTGTCGCCATTCCACGGATGTGCACAGTTTTAAAAGTATAAAAAAAAAATTAGGTATTATATTATGTTTATGTGCACAAAAATTCACTAAACTGCATTTTTTTCCATAAAATTTGCATTTGAAAAATCACTGTGCAAATACTGCATGACAAAAAATTGCAACACCCACCATTTTATTCTCTACAGCCTCCGCTTAAAAAATAAATATAATGTTTGGGGGCTCTAAATAATTTTCTAGCAAAAAAATATAGATTTTTACATGTAAAAAAAAAAAAAAAAAAAAAAAAAAAAAGTGTCAGAACAGGCCTGGTCTTCAAGTGGTTAAACATAGGCCAGCTCACATTTTGTACTCCATAGTAGGATTGCGCGGATACAGAGTACTTGCATGTACTTGTACAAATGCTCCTGATACCGAAACCGGAAACGATACCTTTGTAGTACGTTTTGAGCCCATAAAAAAAATTAATGGGCTCAAATCACACTGCAAAGAATTGCATGCAATTTGAACAGGAATGCTGTGAGATTCCTGTCGGAATTGCATGCAGTTTCCTGCACAGCTCCTTTGTGAACACAGGCTTGTCGGTGACTTTGAACCTGAGTTCACAAAAGAGCAGTACAGGAAACCTCCCTGTATGAAGGGTTCCACCAGCTCTGGCTCCCTATCCCACTGTGGACATCATCAGCTGCGGCTTGGGCTCCTCCTGCCTCTTCCATGGCTCTCTCCCCCCAGCCTCCAGCAGTTCCATCCATCCACTGGACCCCCTCCCCATCACCCCCGGTCCCACTGTATCAGACTGCCGAGCCCCCCGCTGTCAGACAACGAAAAGCAGCTTCACAAGTAAGGGGATTTGAAATCCAGCGGCTTTCTCTCCACTCCTTTCAGTGCTGACAGTACTTGACTGAAAGTATCGGTACTGGTACTTGCCGGCAATAAAGACGGTATTGGTGCATCCCTACTCCATAGAGTACCTAGTAACCTTGCAATAAAGCAAATCCTGAATAATAGTTAAAAGCACACACATCTAGAAAAGGGACAAGACTGACAGTTGTTGTAGTTTACCTGGAACTGGAATCACGAAGGCGACTTTGGTGAACCACAGAGGTGGCTGGGCTGATGTTTGGCGTAGCACATCGCGAAGCACTAAGATCACACTGATCCAGTAACTTCAACAGCTCTTCTTCTGTCGGACCACAGACATCTGGAAAAACCGAAGCAGACATAATCTAATCAGTGGTGTTTCTGGCTTAAGTGCAGGGGCTTCCTTTGATGCTTCACATTCATATATTCAACCGCTATGTTCCCATCTCTGCAGCAGCTGATGAGCAGAGAGCAGCAGCAAATGACTGTATTGCCATCTGTACATACTGAGAGCACTTGAGGGTTTCTGTAATGTTCTCAGCATACACCAGTGACAGGTTGTGGCAAAAAGTAACAATAAATTACAACTGCAATGCTGCCCATCCAATGAGCTGAAAGCTGAAGCAAGATGCTCATCATGTCAGGAATGCTACAACTGCTATCCACACAACCCCCCTCCTTCTCTGATTGTCACTTACCTTTGTCCTCTATCTTTAAAACCATGTCCATGGCGGTGGTCAGGTCCCACATTTGAATGCTACCATTGGAATGTCCAGTAAAGAGGTAACGCCGAGGCCTGGAGCCCATACGACTAGATCCTTCACATTCCCGTACAGTAAAGCATGTGATGGTAGTGCAGTCTACAGCCTGGATTTCACAGATTCTGCACAAGAAAAACACCTTTGAATTTTGATTCATTAAAGTGATACTCCAGTCTAGTAAGGAAGGCCCCCAACCTGCCACGGGGTACTGCAGCTCCCCAATCTTCAACAGTGTCCCAAACTGCTTCTCAACCTCCCACAGTCCTTCCCAGGCCCTGTAGCACGCGCATTACTCCCCCAGCCTCTTGGAAGATCACCGGCTCCTCCCGGGATCTTATACCTCAGTTTTCCACAGCCCCTTCCAGAAACCTCATCCCCTAACCCCCTATCTCCCCACACATCAACACCCAGACCCATTCAGAGCTTTCCAGAATTTTAAGACATACTTCCCATTCCCATACTTTTATTGTGAAAGTATTTTTTTCTTCTTTTATACTGTAAGGGCATTGAAGGTTTTGGAAGAATTTACCTGACCCTGGTCTCAATAAGATTGAGAATTACAGTGAATTCTTAAAGTGGAACATTAGGTACATAAATAAAATAGAGTGAACAGGCAGGAATTGTAATGCAGAAGAGACATGCTTTGTCTCCTCTGCATTAAAGTTACCTACCCACCTGTCCGCCCCTGTACAGTAAGCCATGTAGAAATTCAGAAATGTCGAATCTGAACAGTGTATCTGTAATCTGACTGAACCTGTATAATAATAATAAAATCTCCTGCATATGCATGGGCGTGACGACATTCCCACTCGGCCAATGAAGGAGGCCGGCGATCGAGACCTAGAAGTCAGTTGCACAAAGAGGTCTGCAGCCGGGCGGGGATCTCCGGGGCGCTGCATCACTGGATCGAAGGGGAGTATAGTGCCACTTTAATATTTTGTGCATTTTGTTTGGTGTGAAGGAATTATCTGAATTCAAAGCTAAACCGTGACCACCTGCTGCTTCAACCCTGGCTGATGACACTGTTAATTAAAAAGACATTCCCATTCCCACTGGATGGGGGAGGAGGTATGGTCAGGCTAACAGCAGTACTGATTTAAGGTATTTTCTAATTCATTTAAAAAAAATGTCATGACTTCTGGCAAAGCCTGGCCAACTAAGCTGTCCTTTATCAGGACACCCTTCTACAAGCTATTAATCTTTTAGTGCTGGCAAAAAATTTAAGCTGAAGCTGATTTACTGCTATGAGGAACTTTTACTTTTTTTGATTCTGCTGGTGCTTATATATTAAGCTTCTCAAATATATACAATATCTTTACAAAATGTGCTTTAACCACTTGCCTTACAAGCACTTATACCCCCTTCCTGCCCAGGCCAGTTTTCAGTGCTGTCGCACTTTGAATGACAATTGCGCGGTCATGCAACACTGTACCCATATGACATTTTTATCATTTTTTTTTTAGACAGATAGAGCTTTCTTTTAGTAGCAATCACCTCTGGGTTTTTTAGTTTTGCTAAACAAACCAAAAAAAATTTGGAAAAACGTTTTTTCTTAGTTTTTGTTGTAACATTTTGTACATAAGTGATTTTTCCACTTCACTGATGTGCTCTAATGAGGCTGCAGTGATGAGAGAGGCACTGGTAGGTGGCACTGATGGGTATTGACAGGCATCACTGATGGGCACTGAAAGGCAGCACTCATATGGCACTGATAGGCAGCTCAGATGGGGGCACGGATATGTGGCATTGATGAGGCACTGACAGCTGGCATTGATGGGCACTGACAGGTGGTGGTGGTGCTGGGGCTATATTGATCATCAAGGCACACTGATCATCAGTGCCCTGATGATCATTGTACATGTCCTCTCTGTGGAATGCCAATTACCGGCTCTCCTCTCCTCTCAAGCTGTCAGCGTGACAGCTCGTGAAGAGAGAAAAGCCGATAACCTGCATTTCCCTATTTACATGCGATCACCTGTGATTGGACACAGCTGATCACATGACCGAGCCGTTCGAGGGACACAGCGCACCACTGATCGCCGCTAATGCGCGGTTAGAGTGGGAGGACGTCATAGGACATCCTCCCAGAACAAGAGAATCGCCTTGTGCCCATCATTACCTTATATGGTGGGCGGGAGGCGATTAAATGTCATAGTATCAGGCCCTTCCAAATACATTAAATGGGGTGTTTAAGTTGGCCCTCTCACTACATAACTAAATAGATTGTACAAGCACAGTATGCAGCAATCCTAAAGCGATGCTGTAACTTTGCCCACGCAGTTCAGAGTGACAGCGTATGCCGATAGGGGCCCCCCCGCCCCCTCACTTCCCTAGTAAGATATATACTGGCTGATCTACTCTCCGGTCTCTACAAACCATTGCCCTACTGGAGTGGGGATTCTGGGTATCAAGGAGCATGAGACCTCCCCATGTAACAGCCATGTGGGAGGGTTACAGTGACATCAACCAACTTGGAAAGCTCCAACACCAAAGCTTACCGGGGATGCATCATGATTACAGTTACCTTTTTCCAGTTGAAGAAAGCCTCACAAACAGCTTATTAGTGATGGGAACCACCTTCTGGATAAACACCTGTTGATCATCTCTTTCTCCAAAAGGCCCTGTAAGCACATAAATTACCAACAAGTGTCAACATGTGAGTGATAGGGTAAAAATGATTACTGCCATGTACTGTATATGAAAACAAAAAGCAACTTTTGAATAGTCTTCCATTTGCTAACCCCACATGATCATTTCTACATTAGCTTCAGGGGTTTTCTCCTTCATTCTACAACAGGGTTACTCAAACCTAGGGATCTGCTGCAAGTTACTACTGCAACAGATTATTACGCACTCAACGGTGACTTCAGTGCTTTAAAACATACTCTTGCCAAATACCACCAGTCGCAGTGATATCAACCAGATAGTACTCTCAAAGTTCCAACTCCTAACATCACCAAAGACAGCAGAGCACATTAAAGAGGTGGTCTTCATGAAGCTAGCAGTGTGCAAAGAAAGGACTCCGGTCTCCTCCTCAAGGTAGGTGATAAAACCCTGTGTGTGGTTAGTGCACTGAATTCCTGCCACAATTCATACTGGTAGCTAATACAAGTAAAATATAGGATAAGGGCCCATGTCCTGAGAAATAACCAAGGCATGCTCATTCCTCTCCTAACACCACCTTTCTGCTGCTGCTGCAGGGTAGTGACAAGGCAAGGCAATATGTGAAGTGGTTTTATTGGGCTGAGTCTATGTGGAACTACCTTTACGTAGGGGGTTCTGCAATTCGTGCGGGCACAAGAGCCCATTCATTTGTGCCCCGGGAAACGCAGGGAAGAAGTCTCTGCACTACTTTGGAAATCGCAGCCCGCACGGGAACGGAGGTTCCCAGTACGGCTGCGATTTTCAGTGCTGGCGGCGTGTCATTAAAATTAATGGCACTCAACCGCAGGTCCTGCAATGTGTGGGTGGTGCGGCCGCAGGCCACAGAGGCAATAACAAAGAAACCCATGCTGCAAGGAAAAAGTAAATAATATACATTTTGACACATAGAAAATCGGTATAGAAAAGAATCACCCCACTTTTAAAATATTCACATTTTGCTGCTTTGCAGTCTGAAATGAAGACAGACACCATTTTTGTTTTATCCAGCTGTATTTACTCAGTGCAACTTATAACATCCTAGTGAAAGATATAACATGTCAGAGAAAAAAATTAAAATAAAAAAAAAATTAAAAAAAATGAATCACTGAGTTGGAAAAAGGATCATCACCCCCTTGTGTCAGCATTTTGTTGAACCCCCTTTTGCTTTAATTCCAGCTGTTAGTCTGTTGGGATACGTCTCTACTAACTTCTAGGCTTGGTAATATTGGCCCACTCTTCTTCGCAGAACTGCTTAAGTTCAGTTAGATTTGATGGTGACCATTTGTGGACTGAATTCATTCCACAGATTAGTTTTGGGGGGGGGGGGGGGGGCGCGATTCTTTCCTATACCCACTGTATATACAAGGGAAGTTATTAAGCTAAAAAAAAAAAAAAAAAAAAAGACTGTTACATAGTCCCCAGGAGGAATAAAACCAACACCTTTACTGCCAGTGTAACAAGAAGGTACCTATGTCATTGCCTGAAGAGTAGCTCCCATGGCTCTCTGTTTCTTCCAGGGACAGGATTTTAAAGGAGGCGAGTGGAGTTGATCCCGGCTGTGTGGAGATCATCCCTCTGAAGCGAGTTACAGTCCAGGTTCGGACATGATTATTATCAGCACAAACTAGATGAAAGAAAACACACCAGATTAAGCCTTGCATCAGCAGCAATAGAAAGATTCCTTATTACAAAAATGTACGCAGCACTTTGTCATGTCTAAAGAGTGCAGATACTACAACCACAACTACAGTCTATTACAGCTTTGTCTGCTCATACACATCCAAATAGTTTTATTTTTAGCGTTGCATGGAGTTTGAAGGGATATCTGTCGGGTAGTTTACTGATGTGTGTATTCCTATGGGAGAGGTTAAAAAGCTAGTCAGAGCACAAAAGGACTATTCACTAGCATTTATGGGACTTTTAAGGCACATAAAAAGATAAGTGAGCCTAAAAAAAAAAAAAAAATTGTTACAAAAAATTATACAAAACTTAAAAAAAGTTTACATAATTAAAAAAAAAAAAAAAAAAAAAAAAACAACCCACGCATACGGATAATAAAAACATCATGGCTGACAATGATTGTGCCACAACCTTAACCACTTATCAACCCGCTCACAGTAAATGTATTGAGAGCATGCGGTAAGTACAGGCATGGCAATGTACATGTATGTTGCCTGCTTTCTTACGGGTTTGGGGCATGCAAGCGTGTGTCCCCTGCTGACCCTGTGAATTGGCACAGGATGAGTTTGACAGCAGGTTTCAGCCAATGATTTTGGCTGAAACCTGCTGATCAGCCATTTCCAATCACAGCAGAGAGTTATGTGTTTGCAAACACACTGAACAGCCATCTGGAGGTTTCTTCTCCTGAAAAGCATGGAAAAAAAAATAAAGCCAGATCTGTGAGTAAAAGCAGCACACACTACACTTGTTAGGCACACAATTAACCCCTTGATTTCCACTTGATGTCAACCCCTTCCCAACTGTCCTTCGTATAGTGCAGTGTGTACAGTATTATATCTGATCACTGTATTAGCGTCACTAGCGAAGTCAGTGTCAGTTAGCGCCCCTCCCAAACAGTGTCCGTTAGCGCCAGGTTGCCCGCCACACTATCACAGACCCAGTATAAGTCACTGATCACCGCCATTTCCAGTATAGTGTCTATAGCTGTGTAGATTCAAGTATATATACCAAAGACTGTAGATGCTATAAATTTCAAACAAACCAATATAAAAACTTATTGGGATTTTTTTTTGTAACCAAAGACAGAATACATTTTGGTCTAAAATGTATGAAGACGTTTGGATTATTTTTTTTTATTCATTTATTAGATACGTTTTAGAACAAAAAGTAGAAAAATATTGTTGTTTTTTTTCATTTATATAATAAAAAAAAACTCAGTTGTGATCAAATACCACCAAAAGAAAGCTCTATTTCTGTGAAAAAAAAAAATATAAAAAATGTAATTTGGGTACAGTGTTGCATGACCGAGCAATTGCCAGTTAAAGTAGGGCAGTGCTGAACAGCAAAAAATTCTCTGTTCTTGAAGGGTGTAAAACCTTCCAGAGGTCAAGTGGTTAAACTGTCAACACAATTCTGCTTTTCCAGGAAGAAGAGGACCTAGAAGAAGTCCTGCCTTCAAGGTGGCGGGGCTGTCTCAACCTGGAGATAGACTTCAAGCTTTAAAAAAAAAAAAAAAAAAAAAAAAAAAAAAAAAAAGGCCTGCCACATGTAACCAATAACCAAACATATAACAAGATCAATAACTCAACATATTTATTTTGAATTTTGGATGATCAATACCAGATGCAGATAGAGTATGTAGAATACTATACACTAACATCAGCCAATCTCCACATGTACCTGATACGAGATGCTTCTCTGACAGCATGATCTTTGTCACCGGGCTTCGGTGAACTGTAAACGTTTGAAAGAGCTGAGGCCCGGAGCCCACTGTCTCCGGATGTTGCACAATCACCCTCACCGCTCCCGAGCTTGTGCCGTAAGCAATCTCAATCCAGTTTCCACTGACACCTACAAAAGGCAACACAATGGGTGGGGTAAGATGATGGCACACATGAAGGCATGTGTTATCCAATACTATCACGAGAGTACACAGTTTTAACACAGGCATAAGGAGGAAGCACTGAGCACAGATGGGGACCAGGAATTTGACACTCTTTAGACACCTTCATTTTAGGAAGAGTTATGTTAAAAATTAAACCATTTACAGACAAGATCTCTGTATAACTCACTGGTTTTGGGTGTGAGGTAGACACTCAGGGCAGTGATGGCATCATTGGAGGGATCATGATACAATTCCGTCACTAGCAGATCATTATCTTTCATGCGTAGTGGAAACTTCTGCATATCTGCGGGGAGAAAAAAAAAGGCCGACAACAGTATCAGCCCTGAATCAGGTGACCATGACCACATGCTGGATGGTAAGGTATAATCAAAAGATATTAAAAGATGAAAGATGTTTCTGATCTTTCACCACAAGTGTTCTACTATTATCCGTTTTCAAAAACAAAAATGATCTTACCTATATAATAAATGGATCCATTGTTGCACCCCAAAAGCAGAAAGGAGCCAGCTGTGTCATAGCTGGTGATAGGGACAACATCCTGTACCTGAGGAGACAACAATATTCATTCATTCTGAACGCACAGCTTAATGACTTTTTACCAAAGCAAGTCAGTCCAAAAACAATTCAGGTAACCAGCGAGATTAAAGTAGACACCACATCAGATATATTTTCCACGTTAAGTACATGCAGACTAAGTACTGCGAAAGTATATTATTTCCAAGTATTTTTTTTTTTTTTTTTTTTTTTTAACTTCCACAGAGAACACAATTTCTTTTGAAACATTGCATATTAAAGCTGAACTCCAGGTAGGGTTTTTAAAGTATAGTTACACTGGTCCAGTGAAGATCAATGTAAATATACATATTTTACAGCTATGAGTCTGCTGTGGAAGCAGAGAATCACCATGGTCACCATTACTACAGTGATTGCCACATTCTTACTGTTCTTATGTCTGCATAGTAACCACCATAGGGGATCATTCACTCAGCATGGACACCATTCACAGAACATTTTGTATTTTTTTTTAAGGAATAAAAAGGCTTACTCAAATTGGACAGGGTGGAAGTGCGGCGGGGGGGGGGGGGGGGTGGGAGGTGACACCACTTCTCCAATCAGAGAACGTCTTATTTATTGAAAAAAAAATTACAAGTTGCGAATGGTGGTCGTGCCAAGCAAGCCTGCTTGGGTGTCTCCATAGCAAGCAGCTTGCTGTGGGGGCACTTGGCAGGAGGGAGCGACCAGGAGTGCCGGCCGGGGAACAGAGAAGAGAATGATCGGGGCTGCTCTGTGCAAAACCACTGCACAGAGCAGGTAAGTATTACATGTTTGTTATTTAACCACTTCCAGTCCGGACACTTTCACCCCCTTCCTGTCCAGGCTAATTTTCAGCTTTCAGTGCTATCACACTTTGAATGACAATTGTGCGGTCATGCAACACTGTACCCCTATGAATTATTTAGGATTTTTTTGAGACAGATAAAACTTTATTTTGGTGGTATTTATTCACCACTGGGGTTATTTGTTTTGCTATATAAATGAAAAAGTACAAACATTTTGAAAAAAAGTGTTTTTCTTATAAAATTTTGCAAATAAATAATCTTTCTTCATAAATCCACCCACTCCTGCACTGCTCCAGTCCAGCCGTTTATGTACATGGGCCAGACGGGCAGTGGTTAAAAAAAAAAAAGAAAATCTGCCTTTACAATCACTTTAAGACTGTTACCTGTTTTCCTGTATGCCCAGAGGTACACTTGAAAAATGATCTTATTGGAAGTCAAATGTAAAGTTTATGCTACAATCACGATTAGGTCACAAGTTGTTGATTCCATGGCCCTATGAACTGAAATCCCCCTCTGTAGGTTACCCATATTTATCATAATTGTAATCACGTTATCGTACTTGATGAGGACTTACCTGCCAATGCTGAGTGACGGCATTCCACACTCCAACTTTTCCTGTGTGGCTTGTAGCTACCAACTGGTTACCGATGAAGAACAACGCATCTACAGGTACACCGAGATTGAACACACCTAAACCATAAACACAAAAAAGGACAATTTATAAGTCACCGATCTATCTTCATTCAAATTACCTGCAAGGTAAAGTGCACCTGTAGTTAAAACCTTTTTCCTTCTTAGCTTTGGATAGACTGGGGAATGGCTAGACACGATGTCAGGTTTTTATTATCGGTCTGTGTCCCCATTGAGGAGCTTCACCATATCTGTCTTTACGATTATTGTCACTAAGAAAGGGGAAATCCAAAATTTTAGAGTTGTTCTTAGAACAAGAGGTGACAAGAAATCTTCCAAGGGGGGACACTTGTTCCAGGGACACCAGTATGAGTGGAGAAGGCCACTCATTTTTAGAGAATTCCTCTAATGCCGGTTTTGTGTTTGTGACAGGAAGTGAAGGGAAATTTCCCATACAATACACAGAAAGCAAAAAAAAATAAACTAGCAGGGATTTAATCCCTCCATAATGTTTCCCCCCAAAAAGTTTTTTGGTTATACATACACTTTCATATAAACCCTGCTTTACTGTTCTGTGTTAATGACCCCACATAGGGGCTACACTTTACTGTCTACATACTTGCTACAGGTTGGTGGCTTAGTAATATGGAAGCATAAATGAGAATAGCAGCAATGGCGACTATTTTGTTATAGGATTTTTTTTTTTATAGATAATAATGTATATTTTTATATATAGAATACATAAAAAACAAATATTTTATTATAGACATTATTATTTTATTATACATTCTAGGCTGTACTGTGACACAGTGCCTGAACACACCACATAAAGTCCAATCACACAAATAAATTACATTCACTCAGCGGTATGATGCCACATGTGCGGCACAGAGCAAGATGTTCCTTGTGTTATTACATCAGGCATGATGACACTTTACCTTGTAAGCGGTATGCGGTCCCTATGGCACAACCAAAATACTTACTGTCAGACATGCAGTACCTATAATGAAAACTGAAGTTTTATTGAAAGATACATAAGAGATGGTGGGGTGGGAGAGGAATATCTTCTCAGACAGCTTCTATCTCAAAGTCTGTTAGGTTATAGTGTCTGGGCAGATTGCGGGCCAGTACTCATTGGGCATCCTCACAGTCTGGTAGATGAGGTGCTTTCAGGTGCACCACAAGTTGATAAACTTAAATACCTTAAAACCAAGGAGTGTCCCAGTTGTAGGGGATGCAGCTGTTTCATTTGTCCTGAGGACCCCTAAAAAAGGTAGACATGTAGTTTCCAACACAGTACATTGTCCAAATCAAGTCCCATGGATGCAGTTGCGAGTGAAGAATGCCCTCAGCTAAGCAGTAATGTTGGGCACACCATGAATGGCCTTGACAACTATTTTGTAATGGATTAGTCCAGGGCTTGAAAAAGCCGCTCGCCCGCTCGCCAAATGCGAGGAGAAATTCCTCTGTGGCGAGCGGTGAGCAGACATGAAGCAACTGCACCTGTGCTCCAAGCCTCATTTGTGCCCAGCTAGTAGGTCTAGACTCAAAATTTTAACCCCTGGATTAGTCCATCTGCAGGTTATTAGAATTATAGGTGCAAGTGGTGGGTGCAGCCAGTCCCTTTATTTATGACCTGCATACTCAGACAGTGGGATCTCCATACAATCATTCAATGCTCTGTTCCTGTCCACCTGTGAATTATTGGTTTTCCTGATCTCCATAGCATAAAAAACAGAATAAACACAGCAGACTTAGAGGGAGCCACTCATTATGAGCACAATAGGTGTGCAGACCCAGAAACCCGAGTGCAGAGATTTCTCCAAGAGAGTCAATTAAAACTCGAAGTTGTCATGTGACCTAAAACCCAGCTCCACATAAATTGTCCTTTTAATCAGAATGTAAAATGATGTTTTATAGCAGCAATGGGGACATCTTTCCTGTCCCAGTTACAACAAGAAATATAACGGGAAAGAGAAAGACAAAGCAATAAAAAACATGGCAGATGTCCTACAAAATAATGTTACCATCTCTGCCCCTATCAGAGGTATATCCTCATACTTCTCAGATTAGTGAGAGAAAAAAACCCAAAAAATTTTGGCTTGCCTTTTGTTGGGTGCTACCAATCCACTATTTACCAGAAACTGGAGAAGACTTGGGCATAAACGTGTTGGGCTGGTGGCCTGTGATATCATCCTGCACACTGGTAGAAGCTCCAGCAGAGCCATATTTGATTCTGTTGATGCGATTTACTGACTCTCTACATTTGAGAAAAAGCGCAAAATACATTTCACTTGGTTTTTATGGGCTGCACTGAGTATTTGTGCTTCCTCTCTCTTTTAAATTCCTTACCACATGGTATATTTATGAGGAGAAATACAGGAGGCATTGCAGTGGAGCCACAGAATGAATGGGATGTCTGTGTGGAAGTCTCACAGATTGGAGTCGTATCTTATAGTGTATGGCTGTGCGACAGCGGAGCTTACATGATCTTGTTTGCTTGAGATCCTATCTTTCTGGTAAGAAGTGTGTAAACTCTGTCCTTAGAACTATGGATCTTTCTGTGATTTGCACTTGGTTGTAATTATTCACAATAGATTTGAATATTATACTTGCATTTTTATTAAGTTTGGTGGACTTTACCGAAAATAATACTTGTTTGAGATATATATACAGTTGTGTTCAAAATAATAGCGTGTGTTGAAAAAAGTGAATAAAGCTCAAAATCTAATAGCTTTTATTTCCATACACACAAATGCATTGGGAACACTACACATTCTATTCCAAATCAAAACATGAAGAACAATATATCAAATTTGTGTTGTTCCTCTAAAAAAATTGAAGAAAAGTGAATATTAGACTGTTCAAAAAAATAGCAGTGTTTGTATTCTTCTTTACAAACTCAAACATTCACTATATAAACTGAAAAATGTTTGAAGATTTTGCTTTCCTTTGAATCACTTCATAATATTTGTTGTATAAGCACTGTTTCTGAGAACTGCTGTACATCTGTGTTGCATGGAGTCACCCAACTTCTGGCACCTGTGAACAGGTATTCCAGCCCAGGATGATTGGACTACATTCCACAGTTCTTCTCTATTTCTTGGTTTTGCCTCAGAAACGGCATTTTTGATGTCACCCCACAAGTTTTCTATTGGATTAAGATCCGGGGATTGGGCTGGCCACTCCATAAAGTCAATCTTGTTGGTGTGGAACCAAGATGTTGCACGTTTACTGGTGTGTTTGGGGTCGCTGTCTTGTTGGAACACCCATTTCAAGGGCATTTCCTCTTCAGCATAAGGCAGCATGACCTCTTCAAGTATTCTGATGTATTCAAACTGATCCATGATCCCTGGTATGCGATAAATAGGCCCAACACCGTAGTATGAGAAACATCCCATATCATGATGCTTGCACCACCATGCTTCACTGTCTTCACAGTGTACTGTGGCTTGAATTCAGTGTTTGGGGGTCGTCTGAAACTGTCTCCGGCCACTAGACCCAAAAAGAACAATCTTACTTTCATCAGTCCACAAAATGTTGCGCCATTTCTCTTTAGGCCAGTCAATGTGCTCTTTGGCAAATTGTAACCTCTTCAGCACGTCTTTTTCAACAGTGGGACTTTGCGGGGGCTTCTTGCACATAGCTTGGCTTCACATAGGTGTCTTCTAATTGTAACAGTACTCACAGGGAACTTTACACCTTCTTTGATCTTCCTGGAGCTGATTGTTGGCTGAGTCCTTCCATTTTGGCTATTCTTCTATCCATTTGAATGGAAGTTTTTCGCTTTCTTCCATGGCTTTCAGGTTTTGGTTGCCATTTTAAAGCATTTGCGATCATTTTAGCTGAGCAGCCTGTCATTTTCTGCAATTCTTTATATGTTTTCCCCTCTCCAATCAACTTTTGAATCAAGGTACGCTGTTCTTCTGAACAATGTCTGGAACGACCCATTTTCCTCAGAATTTCAGAGAGAAATGCACTGTAACCAGCATGTCCAACATTTGCTGCCTTCCTTCCTTAAATAAGGACAATAATTGCCACCTGTTTTTCAAAGAATGAATGACCTCACTAATAGAACTCCACACTGCTATTATTTTGAACATGCCCCTTTCAATTAGTGATTCAATTACACAGAATCAGCAGCATGCATGTCATGACTGTTGGGTCTGTTGGATTTCTATTACTCTACTACACCGGCTAGTAAATTATTTACCATGTAGAAATATCATTTCTACCAAAAACAGTGATTGATCAGGTTAGTGATGTCTGACTGCTATTATTTTGCACACAACTATATATATATATATTTGGATTTTATGACGCATAATAATTTTTAAAGTGATACAGCACCCTTTTTGGCGTAAAACCCAAAATAACAGTTTGAAATTAAATAACCCTTCAAAATTAGGACAGGCACATGGAAAAAAAAAATGTTTTGGGCACCTGGTCCATTAGATATCCCAATTTTCCTAATAGCAGCTTTCCCATCTTAAGAAACTGAATAAATATATTACATTTAAAATTATTATTAGGATTATATTTAGAACTCTGGAAGCTATAGAAGATTTGTTTTCTTTGAAATCTGCATGCATAGCTGTTATATAACCTCTGAAACAAACCAATTAAAACAATTTGTCTTCTTTAAGGTCCCCCAAAATCTTTTGCGATGCGCTAAAATATGTGTGGTGCTGAGATGCAAGCAATAAAAACAAAAACAGAGAAACAAGTAGAACTGATTACTCCAGAGGAGCTGGAGGTTCAGGGAAATCAAGAGAGACAGCTTGAATGGTCTAAAGGAATTTGAAGTGTCACTCCTGCTTAGACTCAGCCATGACGACTGCTCTCCGCAGGGACGAAGATGGTACAAATAATGACATGTCCCTGTCTTAAGGGGCCCTCTGCGAAAAATACCGCTTATGGCAGCAATCTGCTTGTGGTGTCTCCAGTAAGTAATACTGAAGGCCGGGCTGCCTGGGGGACAGCTTTATCATAGACATGCCAACCTTTGTAATTTTCTTTCGATGGTTTTAGCAAGGATCGGAGAGCTGCAACAACAAATT